ATGGCACGAGTGTTCTCCTCCCATTGCGCGTGAGCCCAGCTGAAAGCGGCGTCACGAGTCAGCACTGTCTGCATCAAATCGGCCGGTGGTGCAGCCAGATTCTCACAAGCCCTAGAAAATGCTGCAAGGCCCCTGGAAATACATGCAGGGAGCGCACCTGGATGAGCACGAGCACGCTTGGTCGCCGCCGCTGCGGCTGCTGCTGCTGCTGCGGTTCTTTTCAGCTGCTGGCCAGGGTTATTAACTTGAACCCTTGCAATCTGTGACTCTTAGACCTCGCAATTCGGCCACTTACGGCAAACTAAACTCTTGGATAATGGCTAAACACTATCCACTGAACCCCTTCGCACAGCCCAGCGTGCTAAGAGTTATTTAACCCCTAGAAAGAGCGGAATAATGGACTAAGAAACGGCGACCTCAGTGTCTTCCAACCGCCAAGTTGGTTGGGAATTTCATGGGTCTTCCAGCGCCTCCCTGGGTTATCTGGGGTATTCTAGCAAAAGACCTCGCCGTGTTTTGGCCTAGCCCGGTCAAAATATCTATGATCTAAGGGCTAGGCCTCTGGGTAGCTGTAGCTTGTCGGGTTCCCCAAACTTCGGGTAACGCACGGGCCTAAATAATTTCCGGGCCCCTTATTATTATAACTATAATGTGATGGGCTCCAGAAACCCTATTCCAATTCTTAAAGCCCCTAAACCCTAAACCCTAAACTCTAAACCCCAAACCCTATAATATGTCCCTATACTAAACCTGAAATCACAGAAGTTGGACTCTTTTGTCGTGCTTTCACAAATTGACCCTAAGGGTCCAAGTACCTAATAATCATAATATTAAGCTGGAAAACTACTATCCGCAACCAAAGTACCTTATTATTGGGTCCTTTGGACCTTTGGGTGAGGCGTTTGCCACCGGAGCGGGTCGGCATAAGGGCAGTACTGGAGTCCCGGCAGCCCCAAACCCTTAAATCCCCAAACCCCACCTGGACCCTAAAGAACCTACCGTTTTAAGGGTTCCTTATTATGACTTCTTTATATAAGTCCTTAAAAATGTAAGTTATGGTTAAGGCAAACCCTAAACCTTCTAATCACATTGAAGCCGCAACGCAGCCATCAACAAAAATTGAAACCTAATCGAATCAACGCTTTTACGGCTTACCTGAACCCCCAATAACATACTTGTTGGTTTTGAAACCTCCCTAACCAACATTAAACGAAGTAGGCTTGTAGCTAACATAGGGACACTCCGATCTTTCAGTCCAACTCTCCAAAACAGTCATTAGAATAGTCTATTGGAAGAATGCCAGCCACTTGCCGCAATTTGCGCTCTCCCATGAATACTTTATGCTGTCTGAGCAGTTCCTTGGTTCGGAGCCTTCAGGAAGCAAATCCGGCAACCAAACAAGAAGAAGTATTGTAGGAAGCATTTTGACCCCTACACTCATCAACTACACCGTAGTATGGGAGCGTGCATCTGTTTAGTAATTAAGACTGTTGCGTAGTCTCCCGGACCTGAATATTGAATTCTAACTGTAACAATACTATTCCTGAAGCTTCCTTACCTGATTCTCAATATCGCCCACCCTAATATAATACCCTAAATAGTAGGTTCCTTATTATAAGGACCCCAAAATAAGGTGCCCTAATTTTCGGAACCTCCCACATTATCAACCCTAAACCCTAAACCCTAAACCCTAAACCCTTATCTTCGGAAACTCCCACATAAAACCCTCGTCTATTGATGCCACGCAGTCCGGTCATGTGCATGCACATGACACGAAGGGCCGATGCTAAGTGCCAGCCGCCTTCCCCTAGAGGAAACGTAGAATCGTAGAACCTTTAGTTAGGGTTTAGGGTTTAGGGTTTAGGGTTTAGGGTTTAGGGTTTAGGGTTTAGGGTGGGTGGCGAGCACCGACGCAAGGTCTTGGGGTTAAGGGTGTCGGGCACCGACCAAGGCGGAAAGCGCTTGCTCAAATCTCCACAACTTGAGGCTCTTCCATAAGGTCGCTCTCATGGAGATGTTGGGGTGCCGGTCACCAACCCCTCTTCCAGGTCTTCATGGTGTCGAGCC